TTTGAAATTTTGGGACCATTTTTTAAAAAGGAATTATTTTATTTTTGGGGTTTGAATCAATGATATATTTCGTATTAAAAATAAGAAAAAACCCCAAAAAAGAATTTTTTCCGCAAAGTTTTGGCAATTGGAAAATTAACCTTTATTTTTTATAAATTTTATTTAATAGCTTTTTAAAAGGGTTTCTAGAACAAAATATTAAAATTCTTTCAGAAAATGGCCCAATTTAAATCACTTAAATTTTTACCCAACATTTTTTTTAAGCGGGCATTTTCTTTAAAAATTTTTTTTAAGAAAATCAAATTTTTTTTTATATTATAAATATTTAGGGAAAATGTGCCCTTTGGGTGACCTTTTTCCACTTTAAGGGGGGTTTTTTTCCTTAAAATTTTTTTAGGAAAGGTTTAAATAAAGACACACAAAAAAACAAGCAATTCTTTTTTTATTTTTAAATTTTTTTTTAAAGTGACTTTTGCCCATGAAACTGTAAATGGATGGGGGTGTACGGAAAATAGTAAAAAAAAAAAAAACAACATTCTTTTTGGCATTTTTGGTTTTAATTTTTTTTATTCTTCTTTTTTAAAAATTTGTTTTTTTGGATTTTACGGCTATTCAACACATTATTTTATTCTGGTTGTCCATAATTTGGTGCCGAATTAAAATTTTTGTTCATTTTATTTAACTCTATGTTGAATCCTCCGTTTTTCATTGAACATTTTTTTATATTTTTTGTAATTTTCCCCAGTTAAATTCACTTTAAACTCAAAAATAAGAAGTGGACAGTTTTTTTAAAAAATCTATTTATGACTTTTTTGGTATTTTATTATTGGTGATTCTGCATCATTCATCAACGTTTTTGCCAAGTCACCATTATTAATATTAGTTAAACTTTACTTTTGGACAAAGAAAAAATGAGCAAAATGTCAAATATTATTAGTCATTTTATTTTCAAATAAACTATGTTTTTTTTTTTACTACTAAATACTTAAAAAATTGATTTTCAAAAAGATTTGCTATTTTATGTTTTAATGGCTAAATTTATTTTGCAATTAAATCCTATATATTATTATTAAAAGCCATTTTAATCTGGACACCTGAAAAAAGTAACAAATGTATTAGATATTTTGGGTTTCATTATAAAATTTCAAAAAGTTAAGGTGGGCTATTGGGTTTCATTTTTAAAATTTTTATTACACAATATTACATTAATTTTTCTATAATCACTATGTTAAAAGTTTTAAATGTTCTTACTTCTTTAGGGGCAATTTTCTTTTTTTTTCCCAACTTAATTTTTTTTCATTATTGGCAACTGTTAGACAAAAGGCTAATGTTTTAGGTGTCGTTGTTTCATTTATTTTATTACTTTTTCTAACCAAATATTCTCTTAAGGAAAATGGTACCAAGGTGGCTTTTTACAGCTTTTAAGGCGGCATTGATTTACCTTTTAACTAACACATAAATTTTACAATAAAGATTTTTTTTTCTAAAGACAGTCTTACAAATTTTAAAAGGTTTAAAATTTTTTTTAGCCTAGTTATAACTTATTTTCTTTTTTTAACTTCAATTGTTTATTTATTAGATAAAATTTAAATTTTAAAGTTGGGTTTTGTTTTCCATTTTTTATTTTTTTACATTTTTAAAATCGTAGGGCAATTTTTTGGGGAAAAGGTTTTTAAAACTCGGACTTTTTTTGTACCCAATTTTAACACCTCAATTTTCAAAAAGTGTTTTTTTATAAGAAAATGGTTCAATGTTTAAATGTTTTTTTACACGCGGGTTTTTTTACGATCACATCCCCCAACACTTTTATTCATAAGTCGCAAAAATGGGCAATTTTTATTCTTCTGGTTGGTTTTATTGTATCTTTTTTTGTATTTACAAATTTTCTATCCAAAGCTATTATAGGAATAATTTGTAGGTGTTCTGATATTTTCCCCATTGCACCAAATTTGGTATAATTTAAACAAGAGTCGCATTATTCTTCCTTCGTTTTCCAAATGCAAAGCTTGATCCGTAACAAACTTAGCCGCCTCTGTTGGGGGGTTACGGTCAAGCTTTGAAACTATGTTCCACAAAGCTCTTTGTATTCTATTTAAAAAACCAAAACTTAGACCTTTATGTTTGTGAGAATTATGAATTTTAGTTCCCCGCCCATTGGGCTTTTATCCTTTGAAATTTGAAATCATTTAAAACAAATTTGTTATTTAAGCAGGCACTTGCTTATATGACTCTTCATTTTAGAATTTTTGTGGGATTTTAGTTGCGTAACCAGGGTTAGAACTCCAATTTAATATTTATACAGAACATTTTGCTTTTTTGCAAATATATTCAATTTTTTTGTTTTGTTTTTTTTTTTTGGGTTTTACGTACATGAAACAGTAATAGTTATAGATTTATTGCGACGTTCCCAGCTTTTTTACTGGTTTTTTTTTGGAGGAAGACCCGAGGTGCCCTATTTCCGTGCATTTAAGTTCGTGAACGAACGGGCAACCTGAGAGAACCATCGTGATTTTCCAAAAGCTTAGCTGGATAGCTTCCTCACATGAAGAATATTTTCCAAAAGTCCCTGGTAGGGTTTTCGAAACCCTCAAGTGTGTTGTTTTTTAGAGGGGAAGTGGTTTTGAAATTAGTTTTCCACAACTTAACCCTTCGGGCCACGTTTGTCAAATAGACAAATGAATTATTAAATTCTTATATTAAATAAATTTTATTCCCAATTTACTGGCAATAAACAATTACTTCAAAGACTAACCTTTTGTAACTTTTCTTAAAACAGGGTTTTACATTTTTTTTTTTTTTTTCAAAGGCAGAATTTATAAATTTTTACATTTTGTTTAAAATTTCCACCAAAAACGGGATTTCCCCTTTTTTTTTTTTTAAATTTTTTTTTTATTACCATTAACTTTTTTTTTTGTTTTTTGGAATTTTCTTACCTTCAAAATTTTAAATTTGTTTTTTCTGCTTTTTAAAACCCCCGAAAGCTTTGAGTTCTATTCTCCAACCCCTTGTCAAGAAATCCCCTTCCTTTTAACATGTCCCAAACCCGAGCTTTGTTGATATTGTACCCCCGGCCTTTTTTTCTAGCACTTTTTCTTTTTTCGGGGTCGTCGGGTTTGGTCGTCATTTTGACAATCGTTAGGGGTTTAGGGCCTTCCCGAAAAGGGATGGCGGCCGTTTTATCTCCCCAAATTTTATTAAAGTTTATGTTTTAAAAACAAAACACACAGTGGCTGTCGCCCCCTTTATTTTTCCTTTTTTGGTAGTTTTTAAAAAAATAAATATTTAGTTTTTTTGTCAAAAAAAACATCGTAACATAAAATTTCAGAAAAACTTTTCCCCTTACTTTCCAAAATTTTTCATTTTAAAAAAAAATAGATTTTGACATAAATTTTGTTTGAAAAACAGAAAAAAAAAAAAGACTTATAATTTGTATATTTTAATTTTTAATTTAAATTTAAATTTTTTTTACTTAAAAATGAGAGTCATTGGTTTTTAAAAATTTTGTAAGATAATGTTTTAAAAAGGGAAAAAAGGACACACTTTGGTTAAAAGATTTTGAAAACTGGTGAATAAACCAAATGATTTGGCAATACACTTAATTTAAGGGCATTTACAAAATTTTGGAAATTTTGTCCGGATGCCCCAAAACACGCTAGAACTTGTTTTTGTTCAATTTCTTACTGAGTCTAGGTCAAATATTTTTTTTTGATTTTTACAATGTGCCACAAGTTTTGAAAACTAAAAAATAACAAAGGGCCATATTTCTGTTAAATTTGGTCGCAGCAAAAATTCCTTCCTTTACTATCATCTACAACATTAAGGTTGTTAACCCCTGTAAACAGTTTAAGCAAAATCTGCCATCCGGTTTAAGACAAAGTTGCGTTCACAAAATTTCTACAAGTATATAGTAAAAAAAGTCAACAAAGGGCCATAAAATTCTGTTAAATTTGGCCCGCAGCGAAAATTCCTTCCTTTACTTCCCACTTACACATTAAGGGTTGTTAATCCCTGGAAGTTTAAGCCAAAAATCTGCCATCCGGTTTTAAAGAGGAGTTGCATTCACAAAATTTCTTACATAGTATATAGTGTAAAAATCAACAAAGGGCCATAATTCTGATAAATTTGGTCGCAGCGAAAATTCCTTCCTTTACTCCCATCTACACATTAAGGTTGTTCATCCCTGTAAGTTTAAGCAAAATCTGCCATCCGGTTTAAGAGGAGTTGCGTTCACAAGATTTCGGGACGTACGGACTGACAGACGGACGTACCGGACAAGTGCAACGCTATATGCTCCCACATTGTGGAGGCATCAAAATTCCATATGTTCTTTTCCTATAAGCATATCAGAATAGAAACAGATAATTATGTTTTTTTTCTTGCATTTTCATACCATAATACTGAACAGTTCAAAATGTATGATACACTGTAGCCTGCTTAACTATCTAAAATGCATTATGGATATGGAACTGTTTCCATGACAACCTCAGGCACTTTCACTGTCACTTTCAAATAAAAAATATCAAATATAAGTTTCATACTCAAGAGTGCTTTCCATGTCAATTGTAATTTGTCTAAGCCACTAGTAGATAAAGTCAGGCTATAGTCATATCCATACCATCTGACCAGGCTCTATACAGTTTGCTTTTTTATTTTTCATGGTACATGTATGTTATTTTGAAATTTTTGAATAAATCCTGTTCAAAAAGGCAATTTTTATGACTCACTCGGTTTTTGAGCTTCATATATTTTGATTTAACTAAGTTATTGAAGATATAAACTGGTCATGTACATAATAATGCCCCCTCCCATTACCTGGAAAAAAAACTTGCGGATATTACAAATATTCATGACGATGTAGCCATTTTGTCAAGTTTGCAACCATTGCGGTCGCTAAAACCATGTGTACAACTTCTTCATATCCTGACCCATTGAAGGGTAATGTCCCAAAAGAAAGTAACATGATTTTTACGTTATCAAAATTATAGCGAAAGGTTTCTTACCCTCATGATATGATGAAAGATGTCTTGTAAGCAGGTTGTTCACGTCAATAAAACTATTGCGTAGTACTTCAGATAACTTTGTCGTTTTCTGCAGCCAGAAACTGATATGATGTTGCATGTATGGCTGTACAAAGTCCACTGCTGTCGCACCACTATGGCCATCAAATATAGCAAAATACAACAAGTCATCCGAAATCTGCTCAATGCTAAATCTGTCCTCATTTACTTTGCGTCTTCCAAGTAAGCTAGCCGTGCCAACATCATCTGTGAAAATACAACAGTTATAATATAATACTTTAACAGTATTATTCCACAACAAACTCTGCTAATCTTACCAAGACAAGAATTTGTAACAGAGTTACCAACGTCCCCCGCCTCTGGGAATTTTTATACGAAGCATAAAATTGTGCTATTTCAAAAGATTGAGGTATGGATCTCAGGACTTTCAGTCCAAACTTATGATCAATGCTAGATCTCAAATGCAACAATAAATTTATTAAAGAAATAAAATGAAACACGGAATTTCAAAATTTATCATGTAAAGCTTTGACCTCTAATTGTGACCTTGACCTTGGAGGTAGGGGTGCAGGTGTTATGCATGACATATCGTCTTATTATTGTAACCATTTGTGCCAAGTATTTTTAAAATCCCTTTAACTATGAAGAAGTTATAGATCGGACACAAAATATATCCTATAACAGACTATGTAAATCTTTGACCTCTAAGTGTGACCTTGACCTTGGAGGTAGGGACACAGGTGTTATGACATATCATCTTATCATTGTGACTATTTGTGCCAAGTATTTTCAAAATCCCTTGATCTATGAAGAAGTTATAGACAGGACACAAAATATACCATATAACAGACTGTTAACCTTTGACCTCTAAGTGTGACCTTGACCTTGGAGGTAGGGGTCAAGTGTTGTACTTGACATATCGTCTTCTTATTGTGACTATTTGTGCCTAGCTATTTTAAAATCCCGAAGAAGTTACCTATACCTATTTTTAAATCGGGGCATAAGAATGAAGCAAATAACTATCGACCGATATCAATTTTGTCAACTATATCCAAAATATTTGAGCGCCATATTGCCAAACAAATACACTCATTCTTTGAAAAAACGAACATAATTCATAATAAACAATCAGGATTTTGTAAAAATCATTCATGTAATACTGCACTCATTAGTTTAATAGATACTTGGTTAAAAGATGTTGACAGTGGAAAAATTATCGGGACTGGTATTCTTAGACTTAAAGAAAGCCTTTTGATTTGGTTTGACCATGAAATACTTTTGCATAAACTTAAACTTTATCATTTTCCTGAAAATGCCGTTAAGTTTTTTAAGTCATACTCTTTCTACAGAATACAACTGGTTAAGACAGGTAATCTTGAATCTCAGACAATGAAAATAATTTCCGGTGTTCCACAGGCTCAATATTAGGACCTTTATTATTTCTAATATACATAAATGACATAGCTTTCATTGGTAATGATATAAAAAATTGATTTATACGCAGACGATTCTACTCTTTATGAGTCCGGAGAAAATATATCAAAAGTAGAAATAAAACTTCAAGATCATTAAATAACATTGACAAATGGTGCAAATAAATAAATATGGCCTTAAATCCAGATAAATCAAAATGTATGTAATAGGAACAAGACAAAAGTAAATATTATGAGAAAATTGTATCTTAAGATAAATGAAAATAGCTCTTGAAAATGTAACTGATCAAAAAGTCTTGGGTTATTTGCATAGATAACAACTTAAAATGGCACTTGCAAATTGACAATGTTTGTAAAAACTTAACGGAAAAATTGCCTTATTGAAAAAATATCGTTTTTTTTGCACTTTGATATGAAATTATTGTTTTACAATGCATATATATTGCCCATTATGGACTATTATTGTATTATATGGGGTAAAGGAAACACAAACTACATAAATAATGTTTGTAAATTACAAAAACGAATTGCTAAAATCATTTTACAGCAACCACAAAGATCTTCGTCAGTAAATCTATTCGAAACTCTTAACTGGTTACCGTTCCTTGACAGATGTAAATACTTCACGGCGGTACTTGTTTTTAAAACTTTAAATGACATGGCACTGACTTATATGACAGAACTGATGACTGTATCCGACAACAAAATATATAACTTAAGATCTAGGTCACGAAAAGATATTGTATTATGGACAACAGCTAAAACAAATTATATTAAAGACACATTTTCTTATTATGGCATGAACATTTGGAACAATATACCTTTAAATATTTGTAATGTTTATAACCTTAAATGTTTAAAAGAAAAATACAAAGCATATCTTGATGTTTATATGAATGAATGAGTGAGTGAGTGAATGATTGAATGAATGAATGAATTAATTAATAAATGAACGATCGAATGAACGAACGAATGATGCAATATACTTATACATGTTGTATGTTTAAACAAATTGTTGAGTGTCTGTCGAAAATATATGAGTTGTATTATTCTAAAAATTACATATTATACATTCATTTTTCTACCTATGCATGTCCTGTTGGTTGTTGTTGTTGCTGTTGTTTTTTATTTTGAAGGCCCCATTGGAAATGATAATTTTTGATTTTTATTGTATGTTTTTAATGTGTCCCTTTTTAAATAAAGATATTTTTATTATATTTTATTATTAAATTCTTTATCGGACAAAATATACCCCAAGCAAACCATTTTTTTTGAACTCTTTGTGGCCTTGAACTTGGAGGGAGGGATCAGGGGGTTGCCCCTGACCATTTTTCTTATTTTAGGACTATTTGTGGAAGTATTTCAAAATTTTCGATCAAAGAAAAAATTATGGCGGCCAAAAATACCCCATAAAAAGACATGTTAATCAGCCTCCAAGTATGACCCTTTACCTTTTAAGGGGGGTACCAGTTTTTTCGCATACAATTTCATTTTGAGAAAATTGTGGCAAGTATTACAAAATTTCAAAGTAAAAAATTTGGACTGGCACAACATATACCCTAAATTAAAATTTTACCTTGAATGAGAAAATGCGACCTTTACCTTGGAGGGGGGGTTTGGGTTTTTGCGCACGACAATGTCTTTTTAACAAACATTGTGCCAAAGTTATTTCAGATTCCTTTGATAAATGACAAAGTAATGGACCAGACACGAAAGTGTGATGGACAGACATACTCACAAAATGGTACTTTAATAATAATAATAATGTGTCTTTTCCTTTGATCTTTTTGGCCATTTTTAGTCACACAAGGCTTAAAACAAGAGCACCGCTAGGCGGAGCATTATATGCCCCAAAGTACTCTTTCTTTTAGTGAGGAAGACATGGGAATTAAATACAGTATAACCTCCTTCAAAAAGCAATCCTCCTTAATAGCTGAAGAACATTCATGTATATATACAGTTGCTGTTTTCAAAGCACCACCATCAAGTTGTTATCTTGTAAGTAAAAATGCTACAACGGATGGACACCAAGACGTCAGGGGTATAAAGCTGTTAATCCTATAAAATTTTACAGCTGTAGTTCGATAAATAACTACCAGAGATCTGCCAAGAATTTGAAAGTACTGGGCCCTGGGCCCACTTGGTCTGAAAATGATGGGCCATTTTTACCAAAGTATGGGCCTTGGGAAAATAGGTAAACATTGACCAAAATAACTGTTAAAAAGTTTGTAGATAATTGAATTTCCCTGGTAATAAAACTTAAATCATATTTTATGACAAGTTGTTCATTATAATTCAGTACTTAACATTAATTAAAAAATTATGCTGCATGGTAACTTTTTAACTAATATTAATTGCAGGCAAAATAATTTTTTTAAATGGCTGCTCAAAAAGGTTGTAGTTTGATATGCAAATTTATTCACATAATTCTGGTTCTTACTTGTAATGTCTTATATTGTCATTATCCATTTAATTGTTCCAACTTTGCACCAAATGTCCCTTACCACTGTATATGAACGATTTTATTGCCCCTTGTATGCCTCTGTGTAGACAGCATACATCAAAGACATTTGCCGACAGACCTTTTGATCATGAAAAAGTCCATGCACAATGTTTCTCTGATTGGTTAATCACCCTGTCAAATATTCTGATGAAGGAAATATACATCTTTTTTACACTTCATCAGCCAAAACTTGCGTGAACTTGAGTGACCTTAGGGTTGATCAAGTGAACACCTGTCATAACTGTAACTTACAGCATTTCCTTAAATAGCACACTTTTTTTCAGTTTACCGATAATCATTTTAAAATATTAAGTAGTTTTACAATTTTTTGTTTGTTTTATTGGATTAAATTTACGGTAGTAGAAATGAGTATCTGTGTGGGAAAGGATTATGAGAAGACATGCGGTAAGTAGATAACATGGACAAAAGCTACAGGGGAATGATAAACTCAAGAATAATGCGTAATTACAGGAGCATGGGTAACATGTTGCTGTTGGTACCAGTTTTGACTGGATGACTAAATAACCCAGCAGACAGTTTTGTTTTCTTATAACTCTGGCACAGATTTTAGATGCGCCCATGGCCCTTTGCTGCCGATTTTCATGCGCCATTCTCATTTTTTTAGCGCCAATGGCGCAAAATCGCGTCCTCGGCAGATCTCTGCTTGAGTTATTGAGCGAAAACTGTTTCCAGTTTAAAGGTGATAGTAATCCCTTGATCTTTGACCTTGTGACCCAAAAATCAATAGCGGTCTTCTACCCAATATGAACAATCATCCTATGAAGTTTGAATACTGTGGGCCAAATGGAACTTAAGTTATGCTCCGGAAACCATTTTCAGTATTAAGCTAATAGTGACCTTGACCTTTGACCTTGTAACCCTAAATCAATAGGGGTCTTCTACCCAATATGGACAATCATCCTATGAAGTTTGAATACTGTGGGTCAAAATGGAACTTAAGTTATGCTCCCGAAACCATTTACGTATTTAGCTAATAGTAACCTTGACCTTTAACCTTGTGACCCTAAAATCAATAGGGGTCTTTTACCCAATATGGACAATTCTCTATGAAGTTTGAAAACTGTGGCCAAATGGAACTTAGTTATGCTCTGGAAACCATTTTCAGTATTTCACTAATAGTGACCTTGACCTTTGGCCATTGTGACCCAAAATCAATAGGGGTCTTCTACCCAATATGGGCAATCATCCTATGAAGTTTGAATACTGTGGGCCAAATGGAACTTAAGTTATGGTCCGGAAACCATTTTCAGTATTAAGCTAATAGTGACCTTGACCTTTGACCTTGTGACCCCCAAAGTCAATAGGGGTTTTCTACTTAATATGGACAATCATCCTATGAAGTTTGAACACTGTGGGTCAAATGGAACTTAAGTTATGCTCCGGAAACCATTTTCAGTATTAAGCTAATAGTGACCTTGACCTTTGACCTTGTGACCCCAAAATCAATAGGGGTCTTCTACCCAATATGGGCAATCATCCTATGAAGTTTGAATACTGTGGGCCAAATGGAACTTAAGTTATGCTCCGGAAACCAAATTGCTAACAGACGGACGGACGGACAGACGGACGCCAGGGGGTATAACATAATATGCCCGAAATTCTTTCGGGCATATAAAAAGACACACAGGTAAAAAGGGAATGAATAGGATCAAAGAGATTTACCATTACCCATTGTTCTCCAAATCACACAAGCACCTCTGGGTTTGTACGGACAGATGGACGGAAGTTCTAACAGGAGAGTAATAATGTGGCTACTCTATTGTTCTCTCTATTGTTCTTTTTAGCCACACAAAAGAAAATAGCCACATAAAAGCATTAAGGAATGAATGACATCAAAGAGAAAGAACAGTTGCCTATTGTCCCTCTAGCCACATAATTACTGTCCTGTGAGTGCGGACTGACAGACGGACGGAGCCTATTTCTATATCCCCCTTTTTTCTTCGAAAAGGCGGGGGACAAAAAAACGTCTCCATTCAAATCCCTGTATTAAATTGAAGGAAAGTTTAGCAGATCTATTTTTTCGCGATATTCATTGCACATATATAGCAAAAGTTAGATATTCACGAAAAAAAACTGAAATATGGTATTTTATGCATCTTTTTTTATTAAGAAAAAAAAATTACCGAGAGGAATTTCAGGTATAAGTCTTCCTTTTTTAATGCTCTTCTCAATGTCAACCTTCATTTCTATCCTGCTGTTCCATGATCCAAGGGTATCAAAGTTGACCCCTTTTTGTCGTTCTCCTTTATTCTCCGGATCTGAGAGATGGGATGACTTTAGAGTCGGACTAGAATGCGAATGCCTGACTGTCACTAACGCTACATTATGATAACAATTTGTTTTCCATGTAGTTTTTTGGAGAAGGCTTACACCTCTACACTGTAAACATCTTATTCCTTTGAGAGGGATCTGAACTATACCCATTAAAATGAAAGCTGAAATTATCTAGAATCTGAAAAAAAGAAGACATAGAACGTTAGCAAAAAAACTCCAGTTGCCTTAAAGCCTCAAGATCCGTGCTTATTTTCATGAAATTTTTTGAAAATTAAAAGTAAACTAGAAATGTGTCCATAGGACATGGTTGCCCCCACAATCCACTGTCAATCTTATGACTTTAGGTCAAATATTTCTTCGGCTATGTGTGCCACAAGTTAAAAACTAAAAATCTTTTACTAAGTCAAGGGCAAGAACTTTACAAATGCTGAATAAATCCGCAAGCAAACCCCAAGGTGCATAAGTACATGGCTGACCAACATTCTTGTAAACTTTCAGACCTACAGGTCAAATATTTTGAACAAGTTGAAAATTTATACTAAGTCAAGGGCAATAACTCTAACAAAACTGAAAAAAAAATCCACATGCAAAACCCCAGGTGCATAGCTTCACAGTGATGTTGATCATTATTCCTGTAAAGTTGGTTGATTCTAACTCAAGCACTCAAGGAACAAATAACACAACATAATGAAACGGTTCTCACTAAGCCAAGGGCAATAAATCTGACAAAACAGAATAAATCCACAAGAGAAACCCCAGGTGCACAACTTTACATGCCACAGATATATATCTTTTTTGTTGATGTACCTCCGGGAATTCAATGTGGCGGTATTTTTGGCTACTTTTACCCAGGATGCATCAAATCTTGCAAAATCGCGCGACATATGATAACTTGCAGGAACACAATTCCGCCGTTACTGATTTTAACAGAGTGACATCACAGTCTCTTCTCCATCTTATATTTAGCTCCATGCACATGCTGAGCAATATTCCTGTAAATTAAGTTTCATGACACTAGATCAAATACTTTTTGTGTTATGTGCTACACAAGTTGAAAATTGCAAATTTTTACAAAGTGAAGGGCAATAACTACAAATACTTAATAAATCCACATGAAAATACCCAGGTGCACAACTACACATGCTGATCAACATTCCTGTAATGTTCAAATACTTTTTGAGCTATGTTCGACACAATGTGAGAAAGGACGGATGGACAATGGTAAATCTAAATCCCCCCCCCCCCCCCCCCAAAGTTGGGGCACAAAATTGTGAAGTGAACAAAGATACAATCCAAGTTAAATCCAAAAAGAGGTCAAAATGTGCAAAAATTGACCTTACTGTGTTTAGTAATGCAGTAGGAATATGACCAGTTGAAAAATACTGCAAAATCAGTCATTAATCACAAATATTATAACATACGGTATAAATTATTAATTGAATCTTGAATGATTTTACTCTGTTATAATCTTAGTAAATTTCTTTAATGTATAAAAAAGAAAATAATAATTGTTACCTTGTTTTTTATTTACTGTATAATTCTAGTATTTCATGAAAATAACAATGAATTGTGAAACACCAAACACATTAGATCTACATATACCGATATATTTCAAAATGGCATATCAGAAAATATTGCACTGTGAAATCTTTAATTTATTTTGTGTTTTCTGTTTGATTTTATTTTTGATTTGGTTGAGGCTATAACAGAAACAGTAAACTTATTATATATTACTTAAGTTTTTCAGTAAATAGTTGGTTTTGGTCTGGAATTATCCAATAAACACTATTTCACAGTTTATTGTACTGTGTAGTTAGAAGTCATATGAACCTAAAAAGTGGTTCCTTGGCATTTATTAGCCACAGACTTCTAAGGTGACAGATTGCATTGAAAAAAAGAGAACCTAATCTAGGAAATTACTTAATCATTTTTATGTTTGAAACTGTGAAATTTAATTGAAAGATTTTGTTAACAACAACAGCTTAAATGATTTTAGCTTTAGGGTCTGATTAACAGCTGATTAGTTCACATACAATGGTAAAGTAAACAATAGATTTCCAGGATATGTAGTTGTAAGTAGGCTTTGACATCTAGAGACTCTAGGCTAGAGTATTTAAAAGCTTTGTTTCAATGGCAATCTGTTATAACACTGATATTTTAATCCAAAGTATGTGATTCTGATATGACAAGTTTGGAAGGAAAAAAAATGTTATGTAAAACTATTATACTTTCAAAGAATATTTCTAATATGATGATATTTGTAAATACAAATACTTGAAAATTCCCAGAAAAGAATTTTAAAGTAAATATCAGCCATAACAATATTATTTAAAGTACTCCCCCACGTCCTTGCCCATTCCGGTGTAATCTGAAAATGTGTTTCTTTACACACTGAACGCCACCCTTTACACACTGAACGCCACCAATTGACTGTTTCCAACATTTAAGTGAAAGTGGATTTTTGAAATCCTTTTTGAATTTGGATAGAAATTGCTAGAAATATTTTCATTTCAAATAAGTTTCTGTCATTGATAGGAAAATCCAAAGCTGTCCGCGTGTGTTGAAAATACTTCTTTCTTTTACCCCATATTTACCAGTTAAACTGATAATTTCATGTTTGGACAAGTGAAGGTCTGCTGCGGAATCTCTAGTGACGTCATATTCTGTTGAAAAAATTCTACTGAAGCAAAAAAGGGCCATCAATTATTAACATACCCCGAAAATATCACAGAATCAAGCTTTGGCACGTCAATATATTTTGACTAATGCAATATCATACCATACACTGTCACCACAAAAATACCTACTTAAGCAATTTGAATGTACTGAGATGTAATTTGTAAATCATGATATTTTTCACTTTTCAGAGATAAACTGACTAACACAAAGCTCAAAGAAATCTTGACTTACAGTATATCTAGCTATTAGTGTATTCACAGGAGCTTATTGTCTATTAGGGTGGCACAGAGGTGACAAGTGTGCGTTTTTATTCATCTCATGCACACAAGATACTATGTCGTGGCCTCGTAGTCTATAAATAATTTCCCTGAGATAGGATCTACTGGAATTTTTTTTTTTACTTCACTTTACCTGTTTACAGAACTTAATATTCACATATATTACATAGAAAAACTTTTTAAAATCATATGATAATTACATTTAAACATTGTTACTTACAAACTATTCCTCGACAGTTTGATCAATGTCAAGACCTACAGCTGCACAAGGTCTTAGAACTTTTTTTTAAAAAGATTGTTTTTCTTTGTGGTCGAGTCAAAATTGCAACCAAAAAGCTTGCATGTCGTTGACGTCTACTTAGGTTGAACATCACTAAATAATTTACATACGCCACAGGCTTATGCAGATTTGTCAATAAGTCATACAAGATACTTATAGCTAAGAGTCTACATTGTCCTGCAGAATTTGATTTTTCATTTAAATTCCACTTGCCCCAAAATGGACATTTTCTACTGAACAAGTGTACATACTAAGTTTTCTTTGTACAGTTACAGTGACTAAAATACTCATATTTAAATTGTCTTGTAAACATAATAAATGTAAAAGAAGTTTTATTTCTTGTTTGATTTGAACCAAACTTGTTTAGTAGAATAAACTGGCCTTATCTCACCATGTTGAACAGAGTTGTTGCCCCTTTAATAAATTGCTAAATAGATGCTTGGGGGTATACGGTATTGTTTCATATATGTAAAAATTGTTTGAAAACTGGTTTTATCATTGAAACAGATATCCGATTCTTGTTTAAATATTAAAATAGTTTTAAAAGAGAGTTTACAAGGGCGTATCACATTGGAGGGGGGGGGGGGCAAGATCTGACCCCCAAGCGTCTGTGATTAAATATAGCAGTTTTATTTTTTAATTGAACGAAACATAATATCAATAGATCTTATTGCCTCTTATAAACTGACAATATACCATGCATTACAAAGTTTTTGCTTTTTTAAATTAAATTGCCAAAAAAAAGGACATATTTTGCCTTGTCTGCACCATAGCTATCAAGTTAATCACAGGTTGGTGGTTGTACTCGGGATGCAAGCTCCAATTTGGAATAATGTACAAAGGGATATCTGTAGTGCTCCTTAATCAGTAGGCTTGAAATCATGTGTTGGTGTTACTTAAATACCAATAAAAATAAACTAATAAAGTTGCCCTTCAAGGAGTTAAGGCCCCTGAAAAGATTAAAATGGACAAATTTTGTCATGTTTGCTTCATGATATTTTTTATATTGCAATACAAAACATATTGGCTAGATTTAAGTCCTTTGTGTTGACATAATATATTTACATTGTATTTTCACAGAAAAACAAATGTCATACTCATCTTTACTAAGTTTTTGATACACTTCAAAAGATGAACTCCACAGTTTAACTTGAGTTCAGCTAGTTGTCTGCTGCTTAACTTAACTAAAATATAACTAAGTATTAATGATAATAGATGCAGATGCATTTAGTTTAAGAAGACTATAAAATATGGTGCTTTCAAGGCCTTCATTGTATTTAAACTAGTTTTTAACCCGTTGATCCATGTTAAAAGGTGAAAAACCATTTGGATAAAGTTTTCTGAATAATCTAAACTATGACCTATATATCAAATGTTGGCAATCAAACTTTTGAATGCAAAAATCAAACTTTTGAATGCAAAACATTCTAATACATGTAGTTTAGCTGAGCTATTGTGTAAACTGCCTTTGAGTAAGACACAAAACTAAAACAATCATTATCTTATAAGTTCTACATCATTTTATTTACATAGGTAAATTCATAAACTTGTCGCTCGTTCTATAGTCAGCCCAGCTTGCCGTCTCTTGTTACTGGACCATATCGCTAATCTTCCATGACCAAACATTATTCAACATGATATTAAGCACACAAAGATCACAAAAGTGATACATGATCAGTAGTAAGGTGAATGATACTTTTTTAAAACCCCTTAAAAAACTTTTTACTAGAGTTAAAGTTCTTCTTGAGCAGTACCAGTTTAGAAGACTAAACAGCAAAACCCCATTTACACCAAAAATCAAATCAATATTCAACTAAAAATGTATCCATAGGACAAAGATTCCCCGACATTGCACTGTTTTATCCGTCTATGGACAGACAGTTCAGGGCAAATCTATATAACCCTTCTAAATAAAAGGACAAGGTGCATAAAAAAGAATGATAATATTGATAATATTCAAATGATTTACTCCATCAATATGTTAAATTGCCACTTTAAAGTATAGTTGGTAGACCAACTAAAGAATATCACTATCCATAGAACTACATAATCATAAAAAGTATTAAATTTCACGTTCTTTAATGAACCAAGCAGGATGCCCACTTCTTACTACATGCATCATAGTGGCCTCTTCTGTCCTCGACTTGGGTAAAACTGGCACTGATTGACTGGGCCAGTGTCTTTGAACTCCCTGAGCCATAAAAAATATCTGTCAACACTTAAATGTTTAATTCTTTTGCCTTCCAGTGATCATAGATTAAATCTTCAAAAGTCATAAGTCAACTGCCTTGCTTGCTGTTAACATTTCTGCTAAGTTCCTTAAACAACATATATCATGAAATTTGATACAAAAACAACTAGAAATGTGTCATCATGCCACGGATGCCCCCGCATGCAGCCAAAATTTCAGATGGTGCATTAATTATTTTTTTCATTTTAAGTTCAAAGCCCTTAAAACTTTTCAATGTTAACACAAACCATTTCCATACAATGTTCAAGGCACTGAAATTATTCAGTCTTAACCTTTTAGAAATAGCATATTGCATATTTGTAGCCAAAATAATGGCTAAAAGAATGAGTGGTGAAACTGAAAGTTCAAAATTTTTCCAACATTCAGGAAAGATAAGTTTGTCTAAAATCATTGAACCACGACTAAATTCAAACTTAAACTGCTTATTCCTAAGATGTATCTATATTATTTTGAAAGTGAAAGAGACATAACACTGCCAAAAAATCATCAAACCATGACCAAATTCCAACTTGACCTGCCCATTCCTTTGACATATCCATATGTCAAATTAAAGTTGAATATGTGACACTGTTGGGTAGATAATGAACAGAAACTGTAAATTTCATATTATTTTCAAAGTGAAAGGGGCATTACTCTACCAAAAATCATTGAACCATGACCAAATTTGAAATTGACCTGGGCATTCCAAAAACATATCCATATGTCAAATTTGAGTTGAATGTGTTGTACCATTGGGGAGATAATAAACGGAAACTGAAAATTTTATATTACTTTCAAAGTGAAAGGGGCATAACTCTGCCAAAAATCATTGAACCATGACCAAATTTGAACTTGACCTGCGCATTCCTTTGACGCATCCATATGTCACGTTTGAGTTGAATGTGTTGTACCGATGGGGTAATGAACGGAAACTGAAAATTTCATATTATTTTCAAAGTAAAAGGGGCATAACTCTGCCAAAAATCATCGAACCATGACCAAATTTGAACTTGACCTGTATTTTTTCATGACATATCAATATGTCAAGTTTGAGTTGATTGTGTTGTACCATTGGGGAGATAATGAACGGAAACTGAAAATTTCATATTTTTTTCAAAGTAAAAGGGGCATAACTCTGCCAAAAATCATCGAACCATAACCAAATTCGAACTTGACCTGTATTTTCTCATGACATATCCATATGTCAAGTTTGAATTGAATGTGTCCAACCGTTCTTAAGATAATGAACGGAAACTGAAATTTCATATTATTTTCAAAGTAAAAGGGGCATAACTCTGCCAAAAATCATCGAACCATGACCAAATTCGAACTTGACCTGTATTTTCTCATGACATATCCATATGTCAAATTTGAGTTGAATATGTCCAACCGTTCTTAAGATAATGAACGGAAACTGATGATGACGGAATGACAGAATGACGGAAGGACGGAAGGACGGAAGGACGGAATGACGGAACAGGGTAACACTATATGCCCCGGCCATTACATGGCGGGGGCATAATAAATGAATAAAGGTTTGCAAACATGACAAATCTTTAATTTCTATGCATATTTTAGGTACCAAAAAAATACATGTTTTATTCAGTAACAATGGTTTGTAACAGACAAACGCAAATGTATAAGAAACAGTTTCATATATATCTAACCTTCACTCTTTATACTTTAGAAATGCTTTAAATTCTCAGGTCATACATTACAATACACAATGTTCAACTGATTTTAACCCTTAAAATACATGAATCTAATGTGAACAGTCTATAGATGCCCCAAAAGTAAACAAGAAACATCAGTATAAAGTACTGTCTCACAGGTGGCAGTATACCCTGAAAAACTAGAAATGTGTCATCATGCCACGGATGCCCCCGCATGCAGCCAAAATTTCAGATGTTATAATATTTAGTTCCAAATTTGTTTGCACAAATTATTTTTTTCATTTGCAGTTCAAAGCCCTTAAAACTTTTCAATGTTAACACAAACCATTTTCATACAATGTTCAAAGCACTGAAATTATTTAGTCTTAACCTTTTGAAAATAGCATATTTCATATTTGTAGCCAAAATAATGGCTACATACATTTCAACAAAAGTATGAGTGCTGAAACTGAAAGTTCAAAATTTTTCCAACATTCAAGAAAGATAAGTTTGTCCAAAATCATTGAACCACGACCAAATTCAAAACTTTCCACAAAAGTATGAGTGCTGAAACTGAAAGTTCAAAATTTTTCCAACATTCAAGAAAGATAAGTTTGTCCAAAATCATTGAACCACGACCAAATTCAAACTTAAACTGCTTATTCCTAAGATGTATCTATATTATTTTCAAAGTGAAAGGGACATAACTCTGCCAAAAAATCATCGAACCATGACCAAATTCCAACTTGACCTACCCATTCCTTTGACATATTCATATGTCAAATTTGAGTTGAATATGTAACACTGTTGGGTAGATAATGAACAGAAACTGTAAATTTCATATTATTTTCAAAGTAAAGGGGGCATTACTCTGCCATAAATCATTGAACCATGACCATATTCGAACTTGGCCTGGGCATTCCAAAAACGTATCCATATGTTTAATTTGAGTTGAATGTGTTGTACTGTTGGGGAGATAATAAATAGAAACTGAAAATTTCATATTATTTTCAAAGTGAAAGGGGCATAACTCTGCCAAAAAATCATTGAACCCACGACCAAATTTGAACTTGACCTGCGCATTCCTTTGATGTATCCATATGTCAAGTTTGAGTTGAATGTGTTGTACCGTTGGGGAGATAATGAATGGAAACTGAAAATTTCATATTATTTTCAAAGTGAAAGGGGCATAACTCTGCCAAAAATCATCGAACCATGACCACATTCCAACTTGACCTGTATTTTCTCAAGACATATCCATATGTCAAATATGAGTTGAATGTGTTGTACCTTTGGGGAGATAATGAACGGAAACTGAAAATTTCATATTATTTTCAAAGTAAAAGGGGCATAACTCTGCCAAAAATCATCGAACCATGACCAAATTCGAATTTGACCTGTATTTTCTCATGACATATCCATATGTCAAGTTTGAGTTGAATGTGTTGTATCGTTGGGGAGATAATGAACAGAAACTGAAAATTTCATATTATTTTAAAGTAAAAGGGGCATAACTCTGCCAAAAATCATCGAACCATGACCAAATTCGAACTTGACCTGTATTTTCTCATGACATATCCATATGTCAAATTTGAGTTGAATGTGTGCAACCGTTACTTAGATAATGAACGGAAACTGATGATGACGGAATGACAGAATGACGGAATGACGGAAGGACGAAAGGACGGAACAGGGTAACACTATATGCCCCGGCCATTACATGGCGGGGGCATAAAAATAAATTCAACACTCTAAGGCTTACTATAAGGTAACAAATACAAAATCACCGATGAAATTATATATATATATATATATATATATATATATAAAAAAAATTTCCAGTATCAAAATTATAGTCTATAACTATAATTTTGATAGTGGAATTTTTTTTTTTATATAATTTCAGGGGTTTTGTATTTGGTACCTTATAGTAAGCCTTAGAGTGTTGAATTTTTTTTTTCAGGGTTGTAGTAGGGGTCCAGGGGCAGATAGGGGTGGGGTGTCCAAACACTGATACTGCCACCTGTGTGCTGTCTAGCCAGTGGCTAGGCTATATACTGTTGGTTTTTCGGTGCAAATTTTTATTTTGGTAACCCTAAAGATAATAGCCTGTGTTCCAGAAATGGAAACTTGGCAAATCCATTTGTAACATTCAGCAGGATTAGAGTTTCTATCACATATTACAGATATATTAGTATCAAGGGAAAGTTTGATTATAATCATTAAGTAGGTATTAAAACACACATCAATATTAAAATCATAGATACAGTTAACATTATTTAAGAGCGAACATAAAAACTGAATATAATCCTTTTGGAAAACCTTTCTGTCTTTCTTCTTTTACAATTGTTAAGCCTGCTTTAATCATAGCATTTATGTAGTCCTCTTTACTCCGTGTAAAACTACTATCAACATCGTCAAACTCTGTCTCTCCAGATCCGGAAACGTTTTCTTTAACAACTATAAGTCCTTCTGGTGTTAAACCAGTTTTGCATCGAGAAAAGAATCCTACTAAATGTTCTTCTGTTAGATGGCCTAATACCCACTGAGACCAAATTAAGTCATACCTTCCAGCCTCAGGAGTAAAGTCTTGTAGTCCCGAACAAATATATTTGCCCACTCTTGAAGAATCTTGTCCAATGAAAGATGGAGCAGAATCCAAAAACTTTTTATTTAATTCAACCATATCAACTGTTTCAAACATGGGCAAAAGAAGCCTTTTTGTAATACGACCGATTCCTGCTCCACAGTCCAATGCTCTATGTGTGTTTGTATTACCTTTTCCAATCTGAAAAAAAAACAAAAAAACACATGAATCTTATTGTTATCAGCTAAATCCCTTGCACATGGCTAAAAGAACAAAAGAGAGAACAAAAGAGAAGCCACTTAAATACCAAACTTTCCGTCTGTCTGTCTGTCACAAAACTTGTTCGCACTTCTCCTCAAAAACTACTGGACATGCAAATTCATCCAAACTTTACAGGAATGACAAGTACCAAGTTTAGTTGTGCATATCATCAGCATTTTACAGTTCAATGATTATTGTCAGAGTTATGGCCTTTTTATAATTTTTATTTTGAAAGTTTATCTGTACTACTCCTCTTTTACCACTGCAATTTCAATGAAACTTTACAGGATTGATCTGCAGCTCAAGTACTTGTGCATGTTGCACAACTTTTCAAGTTGAATGATTTTTGGCTGAGTGTTGCCAGCTACCCAGAAGCTTTTCAAGACTACTTCTCAGAAACTGCTGGTGCAATTTCATCCAAACTTTACAGGAATAATCGGTACTTAGTCTAGTTGTGCATATCATCGGCTTTTTATGGTTCAATAATTTTTGTCGTGGTTATGGTCCTTTAATTAATTTATTTTTAAAGTTTGTCTGGACTACTCTTATACCACTAATGCAATTTTGATAAAACTTTACAGGATTGATCTGTAGGTTAATTACTTGCCCTTTTTTAATGGGTATTCCGCTTGAAAGATTTTTTTCCAAGTTATAGCCCTTGAATGAAAAGGGTGTTAAAGTTTGTCCAGACTACTTCTCTTATAGTCATATACCACTAATACAATTTCAATAAAACTTTACAGGATTGCTTGGTAGCTCAAGTTCTTGTGCACAATACACAAGTTTTCCAAATGAATGATTTTTGGCCGAGTTATGGCCCTTGAATAAAGAAGGTGTTTTTAGTGTTGCCAGCTATAAAGAAGCTTGTCTGGACTACTCCTCAGAAACTACTGGTGCAATTTCATCAAAACTGTATAGGAATGATCAATACCATGCCTAGTTGTGCATCTCGTCGACATTGTTCTGTACATTGATTTTTGTCAGAGTTATGGCCCTTTAATGATTTTAATTTTTAAAATTTGTCCGGACTACTCCTCTCATACCACTTAAGCAATTTCAATGAACCTTTACAAATTGATCGGTAGCTCAAGTTCTTGTGCATATTAAAATGGTATTTAGGTTAAATAATTTTTGGCCGATATATGGCTATCATGAGGCGACACATTTGATCAATGATCGCTCTTGTATTACATACATGGTAAATGCACAATGTACATGATGGTCACCCTCTATGAAATCAGCGATTTTTCCCCCTATTTAAGTGGTACTGAATAACAGACCCATTCACAATCAAGAACGGACCTTCAAAATTTTCAGACTGGGTCCGACAGACCAGTTCACAATTCTGATGAAATTTCACAATTCCGATTAATTTAGCCTTTAGTAACGTTTTATTTCCTCTCTTCGCATAATGATGCTAAAATTTTGCTGCTGTGCTTTGTTTATCTTAAAATGCGTTTAGCCGACCATGATTTCCGGTGCAATCGCCCTTTAAATTTTCATTTAAAATTTAAAATCGCTGGAAATATCAGTTTGTAAAATTAGTTGATTTTGCAGTTGAAATATTGAGACTGGCACTCTCTTCACTTTTAAAATGCTTTTAGTCTCGACGTCTTGATGGTCTTGTCTTAAGGGTTGTAGTGGCCAAGTATGAAGACAATACCCCATGCAAGAACTTAAAAAGTAATGAAAAAAGTTAAAAGTTTTGGGAAAGTTAACGCCGGCATGACTGTAACAATACCTCTATTTTTTACTTCTAAAAATAGTAGAGTTGAAAATGGGAGGTGAAATGTCTCAATCAAGGTCATAAATAGAGGGGTGATTTGTCTTAGGACTGAACTGTCTGCAAAAAAATGGCTTGGGGTGAAATGTCTGAGGGGTGAACAGGTAAACTGTAAATCGGTTATAAACAGCAAGTCTAGAGTGGTTAAAACGATGTTGAATTCATGTTTTAAGAGGAATTATAGTTCCACCTTTAAGAACGGCCTGAGAAAAGCCTTGGATCCGTTAATATCTGTGGGTGAAATCTTTTCAAAGCCTCCCAACATGCCATCCACAGTTGATGGAATTTCTGACCAATACTCTTTTGCATCGCCATAAAATTTCGTTTCATCCTTTGGCCATTCTGTTTCAGAATCAGAGTCTCCTGACATGATAATGTATATCAATTTAACTGTTTAATAAACTTAGTATCAAAGTCAATTTACGACCCCAATTTACATCGACAAACATGCGTTACATTGAAGGCAGTAATAAAGACCATGATAATCCGAATGATGGGATACTCACACAGAGTTGTCGTTCCTGCACTTTGTTATGGGACATTTTGGACCACGGACATTTCGGACGAGATTTTGGGTATTTCTGACTATAGTCAGTCTTGGTTGTCAGTTTAAGTTTAAAAGTGGTAATGCAAAAAAGCCGCTTTCGCTGCCGAGTACGGACCAGTAAAAAGTTTTTCTGAAAGACAATTTTATGTATCGATATCTTTTTTGTGTACTGTACAGTAATCTTACTATTGTGTTCAAGGTAAATATCCGAGGTTTTGACAGAGAATTAGAATCTAAGTGTCATACGTACAATGTATTTTAAGTTTGAGACCGCGTAGGTCTATAAGGGGGGGGGGCATTTAGATTAACCCTTGTCTGTCCGACTTAGTAAAAAATTGCAATTTTCAACTTGTGTCGCAAAAATCTAAAAAAAAATTATTTGACATAGTCAGTCATGAAACCTTACAAGAATGTTGCTCAGTATTGTAGTTGTGCATCTGGGGTTTCGCTTGTGGATTTATTCTGTTTTGTTAGAGTTATTGCCCTTGACTTAGTAAATATTTGCAATTTTCAACTTGTGTCACATGTAGCTCAAAAAGTATTTGACCTAGAGTCATGAAACTTTACAGGAATGTTGATTAGCATGTGTAGTTGTGCACCTGGGTATTTTCACATGGATATATTTAGTATTTTTAGAGTTATTGCCCTTGACTTTGGAAAATTTTACGATTTTCAACTTGTGTCGCAGGTAACTCAAAAAGTATTTGATCTAGTGTCATGAAACTTTACAGGAATTTTGCTCAGCATGTGAAGTTGTGCACCTGGGGTTTCACTTGTGGATTTATTCTGTTTTGTCAGATTTATTGCCCTTGACTTAGTGAAAACCGTTCCATTATGTTGTGTTATTTGTTCCTCGAGTGCTTGAGCTAGAATCAACCAACTTTACAGGAATAATGATTAACATCACTGTGAAGCTATTCACCTGGGGTTTTGCATGTGGACTTTTTTCAGTTTTGTTAGAGCTATTGCCCTTGACTTAGTATAAATTTGCAATTTTCAACTTTTTCATGCACAACTCAAAAAATATTTGACCTGTAAGTCTGAAAGTTAACAAGAATGTTGGTCAGCAATGTACTTATGCACCTTGGGGTTTGCTTGTGGATTTATTCAGTATTTGTTAAGTTTTTGCCCTTGACTTAGTAAACGATTTTTAGTTTTCAACTTGTGGCACATGTAGACTAAAAAATTTGACCTACGGTAAAGTCATAAGATTGACAAAAATAGAGGAGTGTGGGGGCACCCTTGTCCTATGGACACATTTCTAGTCTTCTTATTAATATTTTCAACATTATTGAAGCTATGATTATTTTTTATGTTGTTCGTTTTGTTTTATTATGTTTTATCTAATTTTGTTAAGTCTATAATCTTTTTAAATAATATATAGTTTAAGAACAAATATTTTAAAATTCAATCGGATTACAATCAATAAAAAAATTGTCATTTCAGTGCAGTAAAACACAATACAAATTGATTCCATTAAAAAATACTGCAAAAATAAAGAAAGAGTAGGCCTAAAAAGATGGCAACAGTAGGGGTCGAACCACATACCCCTCATTTATCTGGCATTCACTTTACCGACTGTGCTATTGTGAATGTAACGAAATCTAACATTAAACTGGTGTGATTTTTTAAACGTGACTTATATACTCCACATCAATTCTCGTAAACTACATGGACCGAAGCGAAGTTGGATCGAATATTTAAATGAGTGCCATAATGTATTCATAATTGACAGGTCAATAAAATCAGACTATACATTTAGTTTTCTTTGTTTATATAAATTTTGGTGTCGGCCTGGTGAATTTTCCTATTGTTTGTTCTATAGTAAATCAGTCACATTTGAGGCTTAATTCTGGATTCCACTGTTCTTGATGAATTATATACTGTCTTCAACTTTAAACATCAACACTATCTAAGTCAAATGAGGCCCAAAATATAATAGGTTAGCCATCTACTTTTTTCAGAAATCTTCATTCTGTTGTAACACAGTTTAAATTCACCACTTTAAAAACTCCTGACTGCTGGTGGGTGGTACATCTTTAATCCTTCCGTCAACAAATGAGTTCCTGGAGAATACACAAAAAACAACTTTTTAACTCATCATAAAACACACAAAAACTACACACATGCAATAAATACACTTTAATTATGACCAATCTAACTAGAGATGCCTAAAACATAAAGACTGCCCCATTCTTTTACTAAATAGATTTTTTTCCCTCGACGGATATTTAAAAAAATGCTTGAGCCATACGAGTTACGGAATATATTAAAACAAACTGTAAGGAATCATGGCAAAAATGTAAGGTTATTTTGACTTTCACCTGTTCATTTACTTTTTGTCTTTGGATGGACATAATATTAATGTCACTTTAACTAAATAGATACAATATTGATATGCTAATATAATTATTAATAGCTAAAATGTTTTTTTTTGTGAATTTTTAAAGTAGTCTATTGTTGAATTAAAATTTTCCTTTATTCTTTGAATTGTATATGCGAAAGAAGACAAAGTAAAGATAACCTCGTTTTAAGACAA